CACAAAACCCGAACCCTAGTCTCCAGCACATGAAGCGTCACGCTTACCACCACACCAAGCCGCCGTTGAGAAGAAAATCGCATCCATGTAATTTATGTTTTCTTATATTAAGCCCCTGAAACCACCCTCATAACTCCGTTCACAGAAACGCTCGGCAAATTTGGAAAGCAGATTTGAACTCAGCATCCAAAAACACGTCCAGCAGTGTAGGTCTCATTTCAAATGGCCACTTCGACCTGGGATCCTTCCCTGGTTAGTACAGAACCCTACCCTAAGTCCCTAAGTCATTACTGTGATCGGTGCTCTGAAATAGGAGTTGTCTGCTCGTGAGATGACTGTGTAGGGAGCGCGGGTAGCGATTTGCTGGGGTCCAGCAGAGCACATTGAAGTCCGTGTAATTTCAAATTATGAGTAATTGTCTGGCGTTTCCGAAAAGAACATGACTCTTTCACCTCCTACTCCAAAGACATTCTGCTTAGCGGCAGGGTGTACAAAATCCTTCCCATTCTAGCCGGAGCAGACTCCTCATTGCATGCCTGATCGCAATCCCATTGGTGGTTGTTGGTATGGAGCACGTCCCTCGCCGGCAATCCCGCCCACGTCGCGGGTTCAACTGTTGTTTTCGCTGAAATTTCTTTCTGCTTCGACAATTTTGCTGTGATAATCAATTCTATACTATTTATTAGATAGAATATTTATGCTGTGGTTTATTCCACCGGATTGAGAAAACTCACAGACTCATCCTCTGTCTGAGTGGACATGGATAAGATAAATAAACTCATCCTCTGTCTCAATGGACATGGATAAGAGTTAAGTAGTACGAAGAAAATGAATTCCAAAAACTTTGAAAATTTGAGGAAAAAAAATTGAACATTTCACTGAGCAACATTTGTGGTAAAGAATGCATTAAATAATGGACTAGTGCTGGTAATGCTACGCGTATCAGTACTGGGACATGGACAAAAGTCTACAGTACACAGTACTGATAGATGAGAGAGGAACGTCATTTGCCATAAATCCTCTCATGATTAGATCAGTTTCTCGGAGAATTCTTCATCTGTGATCGTTTCCACATGCACTTTCACACCACCTGATCCCAGCACATCTGGTAGACCGTGGTCTCGAACGACGATTCTGGTTACAGATGCCCCACCGTTTTCCTAAAAACATTTTAAGTTGATGGTTGAACCTTTTCAATTGAAAGACTGGCGCACCATGTACGGCAACTAATTTAGGCTCCAATAGTGGAAGAAAGGGATATTTTCTGTTGCACTGATTCATGCTCGAGGCATAAGCTCTGAAGCGAGGGTGTAATGGGCATGAACGGCCACGTGCGGTTGCGTAACAGCGGCCGAGAGTGGTGAAAATTGTCGGCTTCTTGACTTATCTTTGGAGCCTTTTTTGATCTGCTTTTAGGAGACATGGCTCAATTCACCAATCTCGATCTCTTTGTAATCAATATTTTGGCTTCTGTTTCACTGCCTCAGAGCCGCGACGCTACCGCGCGCATCAAATCCTGTGGGGCTGATCTTCACCAGTATAATGGAATCGGAAGGTTTCCTTATTACTGCCTATCAAACATTTTTGATTGATGATTAATTATTAATCGATTGAAAAACACAAGGGACGTTTTCAGCTAGTCTAGGGCGAGCTCAAGCGTTGCTCCTGGTTACTGACTGGGAGCAGTGGCCTTTACCATAGGCTGCTTCTGTGCGTTACTCCTGCACTGCTGACTGAAGACGGTTCCTATTTTCTTATCTTTCTGGGCCCGTGACGCAACCGCACGCGACAGTGGCAGTGATTGCGTAATCGCCGCCTTTGGATGTCCATTTTCTCTTTGTATAACAATAGATCAGCTGTATTATAAGGTTATTTACTCACCTCTTTGGATGTCTTCTTCTTGACCTCTTGTAGCAGTTCATCGTCGAAAGAGCTCGACGAATCCGATGATGGTTGCCTACCCATACCGTTCTGTGTCGATTCACTATTGGCGTGCCCATTTACCATATGATCTGATCGTAATTGATCGATATTCGTGAACCTCTGGGATCGTTGGACAGGCGGCAGCACTTCTCGGCTCACTTCATCGTCACTATCCTCCTCCGATGACGACGTATCAGCATACATGATCGATTTCGTCGAAGGTAACGGCGGCGGATCGAAGGGTTCTGAAAAAGGATCTCCGTAATGGTCAAGAAGTCAGAGACACGAGGTTCAAACCTACTTTGAACTGTCGGCGTCACGCCGCCTGCAAGTATGATCTCGTCGTCGATGTCAGATTCGTCGTCTTCCTTTGGCACTATCTGAATTACACTGGGACCAGCCGATTGCCCATGAATTTGTGTAATTCTCGATGATTTTTCCAATTTTGGAGTGCTCCGCTCACTTTCGCTCATCTCCTTCTCGGATTCACTGAATTCCTCATCACGGGTGGTTTCCTCTATTGCAGATTCGTCATCTTCGGTTTTCGATTCTTCTTTTTCATCCTTCTCTTTTGATGTCGATGGCATATCGAATGAAAGGGAAACAGCTTGGGTTTCAACAGCGGCTTCACTATTATCATCATCTTTATCACGATCATCTCGATCGTGGTCATCACGGTCATCGTGAGCATCATGAGAAACTCGTCCATCTGAACCATCTCCAGAAGAAGGTTTCTTGTTGTTCGTGGGTTTGTCCGGGAACAGCACCTCACATGATGGATGTAGTCGTAGTTGAGAAAGCTCCGACTCATCGACTTCTTCAATCACATTGGTACTAATCGAGATGGCGTCCTAAACTAGGTTCAATTAGTCGGAGTATTTATTATTTATGGCTAACCAAGGTAATTTTCATGATTGGTCCCTTCAAACTCGTGAAAAGTTAGTAATTATGGCACTGGTAGAACTTCTGCAAGGTTGGACCCAGGCCGTCGACTAATTCTTCACCCCC